TAGAGTCATAATAACCTTGATGGGGGTTTATTAGTTTGCCATCTGATAATTCATGCTTCATTTTAATTGGTCAGCTTTAGGATCATGGGGTGCATGGAGTGCATGAATACACACTCCTGGCCAAAATTGAGGGAACACATACGTTTCTTGCGATTTCTCATCAATCAAAGGGATTCACCAGATGGTGTTTGAATATGATGTGTCCATTGAAGTAATCGATGATTGGCTATGGCTAACATCGTCAAATGCTCAAGCATCATGTATATTATAATGTATATATATATATAATTCACGAAATATCTCACCGCAATAAAAGATTGAATCCACAGCACTAATTCATGATTGGCTCGTTCAATCTGGAGCTATCGTCATTGTGCATTAGCAATGACGATTGGGGCAGCGCGAATGGAATCGATTGGAGAAACGGAGGGTGTGGATGAAGAACAAGGAGAACATCATGACCAAGCGCCTGGTCATTATCAAGCGCGTGATGGCAGAGTGGGAAGGAATTCAAACTTCGTTGAACCGTCGCTCATTTGACAAGTCAATTCCTGGTGCCCTCTCACAGCAATTGCGTTTCACAGTTATTGCGTATCACAGTAACTATATTTCGTCGTGAAATATCTTGTCGCCGTTGACGGATCGGAAATGGCTTATTTTGTCCAATCAAACAACAGTAGCAATCTTGGCGTACAATTTAATTACGACCAAAACCCATCATGAATTAATATATATTTCCACTACAAATTTCAAGATATCAAGGAAGTACCAGTACTCATAAAATCCACACACACGTAAACAAGGAAATTAATCTTCATTCACAAGATGATAAACCTGACAATCCTTTTCAATAATTGCTTTTTTATGGCATCGCAAGCGAATCGAAACATACGCACCATTTTCTGACTTCACCAGAGCGACGTCAATTTAGTTCAACGCAAGTATTTCGCTGATACAAAACGTCCAAGGTAGCTGCAGCAGAGAATGAGACGATACATGGCGCCGACAAATGAATTGACGGTAAACATGCTCATCAGAGATGACAGCTCGTGAGTAGCGAGCGGGTGGACATAGTTTTCATCATCCACATTGTTTTGACGTTGTACTATTGTAGCCCCACCACGTACTGCTTGGAATCGCTTGCTTGAGCTGGGTTCGACTTGTGCATGTTGAAGAACGCGACCAAGGCTGTGTTGGCCGTGTCGATGTTGCCCGCATTTCGTCCCATTGAGAACAGATGATGGAAAATGTCCGTGCATACCTCGGTGGTTGCGGCGACCAGGTCTATGCCTTGCGTGTGCAATGCATAGTAGGCTACGAATTGCTTTAGTTAATTCGCATAAGTCCAGCGTGTGGATGCACCGCGGAACGACTCCTGGATCGTTTGCTTGGGGTTCTTCCCATTCTTTACAAGATATGGAGGTTTCTACGAAAGATCTGGGTGGACGAATCAAACTGACAACCAATGTCAGTCAACCAATCTCAGAACCAGGTCTTGTCAGTTTGGTGTCGTGTCTTCACTATATGTAATAACTATCAAACAACTTTTTCTGAGGCCTACTATTGGTAAGAGCATGCCACGAACTTCGATGTAACATGTTTAATCATATCTCGCAAGCCAAAGCTACATCGATGCGTGTGCGGCTTAAAGTCCCACGTTTTCTGTAAGTGAGCGAATCTAAAAACTTGAAACCAATTTGACATACTACCAATTATATCGACGTATTTTGTATCAGAATCTGGGCCGATAAAAGCTCAACCAAATTCATTATAGACTATGACCTCCGGCCCAAAATAAATACGCCACAACGGGAAATAGTATCTCATAGTGCTCAATACTGCTAACCACATTGGCCTACTGAATTTAAAATAGGTACTGATAATGCAGAACGGTTTCTACTTTTCATTATGAATTCAAGATAATATCATACGAATAATGATCAATTATCCGAATACAAAGAAAGATGATAGTATTGAGGGGCAAATGTGCATAGTGCGATTTCCATGAAAGACCTGACGTCGGATCAGAGCCGGGCAATGGTTGTCCAACTCCTCTTGCGCGTGGTGAAGCAATTGTACCAGCTCCACCCACCGAGGTGCGATAAAATAGATATGTTGTCGAATATTCGGCCATGATCGCCACATAATTGGTGAAATCTGGAAGCGTGCAAACTTGTCGTCTGGCGACTTACTTGAAGTACTTCCTCCGTCAGCTGCAAGGGTCCAGGTTCCAAGTCACTTAAACAATATGTTCAGGGAGTCTCGATGAAACTTGAAGAGGCAATCGCAAGGAGCTAGCTCTAAGCGTTGGAATCATGTTCGACGGCTGGACCCCCCTGAAGAACGAGCATTATGTATCCTTTTTTGCTCTTTACAAGCGGCATGACGCACTTCAACAAATGTTGCTGTCTACATCCTCGTTGGTGGTATCGAATGAAGCTTTACAAGCTGAAATCTCGGACACTGTTGTCAAGCACGGTGCTCAACTACATGCGGAGTACATGGCAACCGTCGTGGGCTTTTACGATGGTGGAACTGCAGACATCCGTTTTTTGGCTGCCGACAACTGCTCCGTCGTCGCAAGCTCACCTGATATTGTCTATTCCTTGGTAGATTTTGTCAGTAATCGACTAAATCTGGCTGTTAATGCTCATAAGATGACCTATTACCAGCAAGCTCTACCAAAGGTCGAAGACTTACTGGTGGCATTGACAACACTCAACAATGTTGTAATGCTTCGTCGACTCACGTCAACAAAGGTTCTTCAACCAAAACTGCAAAACTCAACACGTTGGCCATCAACTTAGGCAATTCTTGAGCGCTTCTTCCAACTCCATCCATTCTTGGCCATGATGTCGTCAGCTGTCCAACGCGTTAGCCCGTCTAAGGCCGATATTGTACTGCTGGAATTGCTCTCGAAGACATGCAAAAAATGGACAAGGTAACGAAACTACTTCAGCGGAGAGATATGTCAATAAATGCTTCAAGTGCGTACTTCGACCAGATGGAGGATGAATTTCTTACAAAGAGCCCCTACTTGAGTTCGGCAGCTGCGATTGTTGAGTCGAGGACGCCGTTATGAAGTTACAACGCTCCCGCGAATTGAATGTAGAAAACAAAGCGGCGCTGCTGAAGTTCAAGATCTCAAATGTATTCGAACGCACGGAGCGCGAGTGCGTGGGACTCGGAGCATTTGAAGACGAGGTGACATAGTAAAGCGAAGGTTCAAAAGCAACCCTGACCAGACGACTAACACGAAATCTACGACTACCTGCAGCTTCACATCCCACCAACTTCCAACGCCATCGAACGGTCCTTTTCGACAACGAAGCGTATTTGGAGTCATCGACGCCAAGGCTTGTTGCCAAATACAGCAGAGCTTCTTCTCATTCTTAGGCTAAATCGCAGGTTTTGGAATGTAACACTAGTAGCAACTGTAGTGGATAGAATGCCCTTCAACTTCACCACCAGCGTTAAACATCAAAATCGTGCATGTTTTCTCTTCAATGATCAACACGACGTACAGTTCACTTGATGCAGGACAGTAGTGCCTTGTTGAACACATCCACCCCACCACTTTGTGTTAACCGCACAGCTAGACAGGGTGTACCACCGCTCAGTCGAACGGGCTCACAACACGCATATTACCCGTTAACTTGAAATAGACATTTATTCACCTTCTTGGATGAACATCCAATGTTGCAACAATATGAGACCTTTGTGGCAAATTCTGAAAATAGATTTATCCCTAAATATGTCTTCCAAAATTAGCAATAATCAATGCGGTATGGATCAGATGGATTGTGGTTGAAACCTCTCAAAAAATAGATCTAGGTAGTGTGAAAGGTACATGTGCAAAAACTTCATTTTCGTTTTCAATGCCGCCAAAACCATACACTGTCTCAATTTCGCAGGAAGCATTCGTCGTTGGAGACCATTCCCTTCACTATTACCAGCGTACCGAAGACGGATATCGCGTCGTGCCAAAGTAGACGTCAGCAAGTACCACTGTTGAAATGTAGCAGTGGTACTCATGACGGCCCACTGAAACCACGCAGGGCAAACAGTACAAACAGAGCTCAAAGCATCATCCCCCAAGGACCATAAATTGGAACGACTTGCCTCCACGGCCGATAAAGAAATTGCTGAATTTTAACGGAAGTGATCAATGCAGCCGAATTGTAGCACAGCTGTTCCACAGGCTCTGCTGCAAGATGCAACTGTGATGCAACCCGAGTTATCGAGTAAGGACATTTTTACGGTATTTTGCGCGCGATGCCAACATAAGGAGTCCAGTAGAAATGAGCAGTATCGTTGAACAATTATGTGCTGACCAGATTCATGTTGCGATTGCTTACCATCCTCGATAATTAATCGTCATCGATAACACACAGCAATGCAAGTATGCATCGACATGGGCTCGTCAAATCAAATCGATGTCGAAGTCGTGTCTCGATTTGACATCAATATCGATCCCTTCGCATAAATTAACCCTCTTACCCGATGCAATAACCTTTTCTACATCCAATATCTCTCTCCCAAACACTGCTTACTTGCACGCGAGGTTGTTTGCAAAGACGTATCTAGCCAAATGAAAGAATGAGTTGCCATAAGGTTAAACACACTGACTTACCAACCTGCATTCAGGCCGTATCAGCAGCATAACTTACAACACTGCGCTACATTTTCCATGCATTGCCCATCCGGTGATGCGTGAGCTGGCCCAACAAACTGCCGCGGACCTGGAAATGAGCGACATATTGACAGCGCTCAAAACAGTCGATCTCGATGAGAACAAAGCGATTGTTGGTAATACTGTAGACAGATTTCGCAAACGCTGGTTCTGTTCTATCTGTATCCTATCTTGTCAAATTCGATTAGTTTGGAACCAACCTGTAGCAACTTATTGCAGCTGATGCCAAATTGCACGATTTTACAACCAGTACTTTGTCCGCTGCATCCGCATAACATTTCACTTTGAGCCACCGTTAACAGCCATCATGTCCGACGAGGTGCAACCAGACGCCGACTCCTCAGCACGGAAATGGTGGAGTGATGCCGACGATCTAAACCTCCTCACACAGGTCAGCAATGACCTTCCGTTTAATCATGCTAAGAACACAGCCAAGGCATGGGACAGTGTTGCAGCCAAGCTGCTGCAGCTACCACCGTTTGCAAGAAGTGGCCTCGACGAAAAAATGGCGTCAACGCGCTTTTACCATTTGCTTCGTGCGCACAAAAAGTTTCAGGAAAGTTCGAAATACCTGTCAGGAGCGGCACAAGACATCACAGGCAAGATAGTGCTGCTTCACTAGTTGCTCCAGATGTACGACGACCATGCGGGCAAGCTGAACGATCTACAGCAACAGCGGCAGCAAATGAGAAAGAAGAAAAGGAATCGCACATCCGCGACCTAGCAATGCGTCGAGGCCGCCGCACGTCCGTGGACCCTGACGATTCAACTGATAGCGATGTGGTGAGTCAGAAGCGCAAAGCAAAATTTGAAACCCAAGATCGCAAATTCGAGTTGGAGCAATAACGGATGAAGTTTAAGAAGCACAAGTTTGAAATGGAGCTTGAAGAGCGTGAAAAAGATCGGGTGGAACGAATGCAGCAACGAGAGGACGAACGCAAAAGGACGGAGGATATGATGACACTCATTCGTCAGTTAAGCGAGATGAATAGGCATTACAAATATATGTTTTACTTCACGTTGTTCAATATACGTTGCACACCAAATATAAGAACACCGTGTGATTACGTAGTAGTAGTGGAAAATTTGTTAAAGAACTAATTATTCCTCAAGCTGTGGCGGTGTCAAGTTGAAATTTTCACTGATTTGATTGCCGCCATAGTAGCAGCTGTGGCAATTTGTAAAAAAGTATTGCACGCATGAATACCTTCCAGACGCTTTGAAGTATAATCTCTTGTTGCATTTTGTACCCCACAATTGCCTAATGTCCTTTCATAATTGCAAAAGACCTCTCGACAGATAGGCGGACTTTGCTCTAAGCAGAATTGAATGCCTTTCTGTTTGCGTCCAACTCATTGGCCTTGTACCCCGAGCAAATCCAATCCCACACGCCATAGGCAGGGTCACCAAGAATAAAAAATCCAGCAATTTACTGCGATTTTTGTCCAAGAACTCTTCGAGTTTGCTCAAACGGAGCAAGATCGTGTCATGGCGAGAGCCTTCAATCGGCCCCCAGAAGTGAATGCACAAGCCATCAGGTGCAGTGACCGCTTGGTAGTTGAGGCAATGCCACCGCATATAACCACTGTAAAGCAAACGCTGCAGATCAGGCTGCTGATTGTCCGCGCAACAATGCTTCTGCGTGATTCAACACGTCTCGATCTTGCTGCCGTCGATGAATCCAATGACGTTGTCCAGCATGGAGCCTTTCATCTTGATAGCTGCAGCATATTTGGCGAACTAGAGGCAGCGTCGATCAGCAGACAGAAATACAGCAGAGAGCTCC